CATGTATCCTAACATGTATAATCTATGTACCAAGTTTGAATGACAACTGACAAAGCATGTCCAAAATACAACATTTTCAAAAAACAAGATGGCTGCCAGTCAGCCATTTTGAATCGAATCACTAAACCACTGCATGTGCATATGTCCCACATAAGGTACTAGGCACATGCAAAGAATGAACGGAATCGGTCCACAGGATTCTGAAATATGACTCTGGACAGACTGACGAACAGACGGACGGACACATGGACAGATGGACAGACCGACTCAAGAACTCACAGATGGTCGGGGGCATGTATCCTAACATGTATGATCTATGTACTAAATTTGAATGAAAACTGACAAAGCATGTCCAAAATACAACATTTTCAAAAAACAAGATGGCTGCCAGTCGGCCATCTTTGATTCAATTGTGAAATAAATCATCATGGACATGTATCCTAACATGTATAATCTATGTACCAAGTTCGAATGAAAACTGACAAAGCATGTCCAAAATACAACATTTTCAAAAAACAAGATGGCTGCCAGTCGGTCATTTTGAATCCGAACGGGGACTAATAACTCATCAAAGAATACATTATCAAATGATTCAATTATCAATGACAAATGCTGCTATCAAATGAATCACCAATGACAAATTGACAAATGACAAACGATAATACTAAATAAACCAAAAGTCAATGGCAAATAATGTGCTAAGTTTTAAATGAAAATGTACTTTCAAAAACAAAATGCAAATTTATTCATTTCCTTGTTCAGTCAAATTTCAATCAAAATGGCACATAGGCAGAATTTAACAAATGCATTTTTAATAACAAAACAACCACCAACGTGATCATACTGTAAAACTACGGTAGATGACATTTTTTTGTGCTATACTTCAAATTGATCAAAGCATACAATATAAATACAAGTGCTTTTCAAAGAACAAAATGGTAACCAGTCCGCCATAATAGTTTGCAAAAATAGCATATATTCTGTATTTGCTCTATTTGTAGTGTGATTATACATAAATAACACAGCAGTGTCTATGATAAAAATAAGTCATATTTTGGTGATTCATTGCATGCAATACGTTAAATGAGATGTAATTCTAATAGATAAATGTGGTATATTTGCTCAGTTTACTTGAGTGAACTGTGATGCCAAGTTGGAAACAAATCCATGCATGTCCATGCAAAGAAAGCAATAATATACTTACTTTTCGTAATTCTTGTTAATTCTTGAGCTGTAAATACACCACTGGAGCTGAAGTTCTCACCTCCACAGTGACCATTCATCACTAGAAATTGTACAAAAGAGATACCAGATTAGCTATACTATCTCATCATTTGCCATTTTTACCACCAGTTTTCTCTTTTCATCACAAAATCACAAAATACTGTGGAATACTTTATTTTCGCTGGAATTAATTTTCGCTGAAAAGGCTTTTGGGCGTTTTGTATGGAATTTATTTTCACTGATTTTTGATGAGTTTAATGTGAAATATATGGAAAAAAAGGATATTCGCTGGATTTTATTTTCACGGAATCATCCTTTCAGTGAAAATAGCGAAAATAAATTCCAAGTGAAAATAAAGTATTCTACAGTATACTGTTTATAGTCTGTACTTTGCTTCAGAAGATTTGAACAAAAATATTCAAATTTGTTGAGTAAAAACTGAAAATTGGCTCAAATTTTGTCTGTTGGCTCTAAAATTAGAGTTTATTTCCAGAAATATTGAAGAATATCAGAAAAAAGTGCAGATAAATTTGGGTGAGAAATTCTGGTGGTGAAAAAGGTTAACACCACATATTTGAATTCTCTGGTTCAACACAAACCTAACATTAATTCAATGATAAAATGGGTAGTACGTCTATCTGTTTTTAGATTTGACTTCCATGGCTTTTTATCTCTCAAAACTGATATGATGTTTTAAGAATTTGAATATTAATCAAACAAGTACATAATGCATGTAAAAAAACTGTGCAGTATAAAGTGAAACCAGTTCGATCTTTATGTGGACCCCCCTATATACACGAAGTAAGTATCAACTTTAGACATTTAGCGTATAGAGGAGGTGGAAGATTGTGTATGTCTTTACAAGACTAAACATTTCACCAATTAAATTATAAATGCCTGAAGTTGAGGACATTAGTGCCAGAAAAATCAGATTAAAAACATAATGAATAGTGATAGGATGAAATAACAGATATCAGCAGTGCATGGCTGCCTGAAAAATTGTATTCGTTGTGTGAAACAGCTCTGAACACTGAACACCATTAAATATATGTACTGTTTCCTGACATGGCTGTTTTTTTGTTCATGTGCAAGCGACAAGTGAAGTGCAAACTCTACATACAGAAATCATATATTTTCTTCTACTATGATGCCAACAAAGACTTGAACACAAACGCTTGTAGAACATATAAGCTAAAGGTTTCTCTAAAATCGCAATAGAATCTACCATAGTTACATCGAACTGCAGAAGCAATGACAGTATAGATAATAGAACATTGTTCAAAAGGGAAAAAAAGGTCTCTTGACTCTTTGGCTTAATTTTATTAATTTGAATATTGATTTTTTTTATAAATAATAACTATAGTGAATTTTAGTGTTTACTACAGGCACAATAAAAAGTTAAAAAGGTTGAAATGACAGATACAAAGATGTAGTTAATTCATTCATTATTAAGAGTGCTTAATGGTGCAAAAAAGCAATTCACTAGACAAAAAAACCACACAAGGAGGTTTTTTTTCATCCATGGAATTTTTCTTCCTCCTCATGAGGCTTCTCTCGTAGCGATTTCAGCACAACGAGAAGTTCAACCAGCTCCACTGAGATATCTATCACATTATTGTTGAATAAATGAAGATTATATTCTTATTCTAGTTGATGGAGTGGTGTATTGGTTGGTGAATCAGAATCCACTATATTTTTGAACGAGATTTGACAGTGTAATTGCTATCAATGAGTCCCCATGATCCGTTTTCTTAGCAAATCTATTATAGTTTCAGAAAGCTGTTAATTCTGTCTACTCGTCATGAATGTAGAATTATTATGAAATGAATTATATGGATCAGTCCCACATGACAAATCCAACGTGTGTAAAATACACTGCACGATGCACACGGCCATTTAATTTAAGCATACATGTGTTGTGAATATATAAATATGCAACTGTGTTGCAAATATGCAAATTAACAGATGCAAAGCCCTACTTATATATGGTGCAGTTATATGCAGTGTGATTATCAATAAGAAGACAATTAAGTCATATATTCAATAGATTAACAAAACAGCACATGACTAGTGTAAATGCCCACAGGAATTAATCAAGTATGACTTGTATGGTAATATATTTTGCTGGCAGCTGACAAGCAGGTTTTATAACACTATTGAGATGAGCAGCTCAGCTGGCATGGGACCAGACGTGATCAATGGAAGCATTAAATCAACAACCAAAAGGAGGTCAAATGAAAATTGCATTGTGGGATACATTAATGACTATTCGTCAATTCCTTTGAAGAAACAGTACAACATTATAAGCCTGACTCCCTAAAACAATCGACCTGGGACACACATTAATCCAAACACAAGTTTCTAATTAATTACCTACCATTAATGATTGTTACATTTACCATACTATTCACACAGATGGTTTGGTTGTGTAATATTCTTACATAC